ATATATATATATATAATATAATATATACATTGACTAGCGTATTACGTATACCATTTATTAAATATACATATACTATTATTTATTCGTATATTTTATCAATGGTAATACTCGGGGAATCAAAATTGTATACAAATAAACAAATTCAATTATCTGTTTCAAAAATATTTTTAATTCAATACACGTTGGGTTATTTCGCACCGGCCCGATGAATATAATATGACACCGGCCCACTGTGCAAATGCACAGTAGCACAGTGGCCCAGTCCGCCCCTGGTTGCGGCCCGTGTAATTATATCATTACCTATATAGGACCTAGGTATACCTATTACCTATGAACCTGGCAGATGCAGTGTTGTGTAAACTAACGAATAACGCAATAAACGAAACGTTCGATGCGTATGAGGAGCGTTGAACTCTATATGATATCTAACTTGATTAAACTTATCATATAGAGTTTAATGACGGGAAGTTATATCTTAATATAGTATAATAAAGATAATATATATAGTTTTATTGTATATTATCTGCCGTATGACTTGGATCTATGTTGATTTCATTAAGGGTAAAGTTAGTGGAAGAAAATCCAAAGCTTAGGACTTACTAAACTATAATATAATGATAATATAGACAATAGTTATTATTTAAAATATTTTTTTGGATTCTAAAAACGTCATAGACTGCTATCGTCATTGACGACTTATTGGCAATGCAGCCTGCTGAAAATGGCCAGATTGTCACAAGACGCTACGTTAATCCCGAATATTTGGGTGCAGTTTACTGCTAGCTCCAATCGTACCATTAACGGCTGTGAAAGTTTTCATTCACAACTAAACATGTCTTTCTACACTAGCCATCTAAACATAACTTCGTTGATGTGTTACTAGAAGTTTAATCTGAAACAAACATAAAATGTAGAAGTAAATGTGTAAGAACAAAGAAAATGTGTGAAAAAGAAGCTTTTATTTGAGAACAGATGACAAAGCAGGAGCTAAAAGAAATAGAGAATTTTGATTTAGTTAAATCGTCGAGTCTTAAGTTTTTGCCAAAACAATATTTTGATTAGGTTGGTTAGGTATAATAATATTATTATATACGAATACTTTTATTTTTTTTAACATTATTATCATGACATATTATATATTCTAGAAACGCAAAACAATATTAATGTACGATAATATTAGAAAATACGTAATATTAGTAATTAATTTAGTATATTTATATTGTGGTGTTTATAATATTATATACTATATATAGCACCTACTATATGTTATATAGTATATATATATATGTATGTAATATATACATTATTGTACGGCCATAATTCGTAAGTATACCTTTCATAGACCCAGGCTGTAATTCATACTTACCTCTCATAAGCCAGGGTCGCAACTCATATGTTATTTAGGCTTTGGGCGGCAACTTACCAACACCGTTCACAACATGATAATTTCTTATTTCATATATTAGGGCAGCGTTTCCCAAAGTGTGTTCCGCGGAACCTTAGGGTTCCGTGGGACAATGTCAAGGGTTCCGTTAGATGTATGAGATTATTGAGAAAATTATGTTTATTTAATGTTTGTTGTTTAAAAAATGTTTGATTGAAAATTTTTTTTTAATTTAAGTTTAATAATGAAAAGTCATTAACAGTATCATTAAAATATTATTTGGACTTGAGAGTTTAAGGAATTGATTTTCCTTTTTTAATTTACAAAAATTGTAGTTGAGTTGGATTAGACATTAGGGTTCCGCGAAACACAAACAATTTTTTAAGGGTGCCGTGGTCGTAAAAGTTTGGGAACCGCTGTATTAGGGCCTTGTCTTGATGGATACGAAAATACGATAAATTATTTACGTAGACATGTAGAGGGATAGGCCTAAATAAAGGAAATCCCCGGACGGCCCATTTTCAGACGTGATTTTACTGAGCTAGTACGGAAACCTCCATATTTTATTTATCTTTGATAACTGTCATTCAATTTGTTGTCATTCGTTAACAATTTTTAGTAATAAATTGGACAAAAATTACTAATGTGTTCTTTGAGTTGAATTAAAAATTAATAACATCTTTACCTATCCGGTTCTGTCATCAATTCATCATCACCTGTATGCTAGCAAACGCTACAGAATTAAAAAATATTTTTACTTTTACAGAGAAAAAATTAATTTAAAAACGTAAGAAAGTTGTTTTTAAGTAAATTTTATGACACATTCAAATATATTTATAGTAATTTTATAGGATAAATAATGTATTAAATGTATGCTTTCGAAGAGAAAAAAAAGTAATCAATATTCCCGAAGTGCATAAAAGCTATGAGCGTAGCTGGTGTGAGCCATTATTTCTTTCACTCTGCACATTTATACTATACTTATTAGTTATTACTTATTAAGCCACACACTTAAACTAAATTGTTTATACTAAGTTCCTTAAAAAAATTTAGGTGGGTACCCTAAAATATGGGTACTTATGTGCAATTGTTAATTTGTATGAGGTATTTCAATTATTAATAAAGCTTTTAAAATATTATGTAAATGAGAATGCGCATTATGCCATTATCAATTAGTTAAATATGCTAGAGGTATTAAAAATAAATATTCTTTAAGAACAAAATAAAAAAAAATATTTTTTTTTTAAATTTGTAACATTGAGTTTATATTTGACGTGTATTATAGACTATAATATGTAAATATATTAATATATTATTAAAGTATATGTAAACAACATTCACGAATGTCACCTATTTGATAAAAATGATTTATGAACTACACAATATTACATTTAATTTATATATTATTATAAATCTATTCAGATAATTTGTACCGAACCGAGGGAGCCACTCTGCTTGTAGTAACCTACATTGTAGGTTGAGTGTGCCTTGCCATTATTTAAACTTTATTTTCAATTATAATACTATGTAAAGTAAATTTAATACAAAACCAGTTATAATGGATTCAAGGTATTTTTTTATTTGCTGCAAGAATAGTTTATAAATATCCTTGTTTTAAACTTTCAAAATTTATTCACTCTCTAACAAAAATGTAATCATACATAAATGGGATGACAACTAAAAATTAATAAGAATTTTAAACTACAAAAAAAATTACATAGGAACTTTCATTATTTTTAAAGATGTCTTAAAAATTTAAACTATAATTAATTAATTAAAATATAATTTGGCTGTGATAACAACTGATGAGGATCCTTGTATTATATTTTACATAATTTACATCATCATTGTAATACTATTACACATACATAATAGGTTGATCTCGAGGTCAAAATGCTTAGCTTCTGTGGGTACAAACACGATGGCTGGTTTTACATACATCTATCGCTCAATTTATCTCAGTGCTCTTATTGTATTTGGTCGTCATCGCTGAAATGAACATTAGTTTTCCTCATTAAGTTTATTATTTCCTTCATTTGTTCAATTTTCGATTGTTTCATCTCGACAATTTTTTCTTTTTCAGATATTTGTTCGCTGTTAACACAAACGTCAGTGCCATATTTTAATAATTATAATTCAAATAGAACGTGATTGAAATGTATTAATATTTAATAAATAGGTATATTAAATGTTATATATACCTCATTCATAAATAGTAGATATAGGTGTATGCCAAATTGAAACAAAAAAAACCAAATTACTATAATAATACATTTTTTTGTGTCTCACCATTTTTCAGATATTGTTTTGTTGTACTGGTCTGTCAGTTGTAAGTTTTTAACATTTAATCGTTGGTTTTCGTTTTCGAGATCCTCAATTTTTGATTCAAATTTTTCTCGAACATACTTATTAATCCAACAACCAGCCTTGGTTTCCCACTGTTTTATTTCATTTTTCAACTCAACAACATCCTCTTTTAAACGGTCAATAGTAATAATATAGTCCTGGTTTTCAAGTGTCTGCAAGTCAGACCAAATAACATTCATTAGATAATTTTATTATACTATAGTTGAACACATTATTCATCAATTGAAACATTTATATAAATTAATGAATCTTTCAAATCATTTTAATGTATATTTCTGATTAATGAAAAATCATACCAAACTTTTGACCATCAATTCGAGTTCCAACGTTATATCTTCCCTAAAATGAACAAATACACATTTAACATAATATAAATTATCAATACTTTATTCGGTGGAGAACGATTGCGCGCGTTTTACCTTTTTGGGCATACGATTGCGCGCGGTGCCGGAATAACAAATAATCATGCTTTTGACTATTCAAAAGGGGAGTTACCCGTTTCCGCCAAAAGTGTACCTTTCCCTTTTCCCCCAATTCACTTTTCCGTTAAATCATAAATTGTTCGATTCCCTTTTCCGCCAAAACCCTGCCTTTCCCTTTTCCGCCAAATCAAAAAAGTTAGTCTAGTATAATTCAAATATTTAATATATTATAAATTATAATTTTATTTTAATTTTATATACATTAAAAAGTTTGTACTATAATGATATATATACCTATAACGTACCGTAATTTCAACCAAATGATAAATTTATCACTGATTATCGGGATTATTTCCCAAATTCTATCGATTTTTATTGCTAATGTTGCTTGTTGTACCAGTTATATTGTTACAGTTGACAGTTGTATGATACGTACGAAACCAACCGTTATTGTACCTATAATAGTACGCGGCCTAGTCGCTTTCTAACCGTTCTCGATAAACTATAACTTACTATTGAATTTATTACTTCTTTTGAACCGAAATATTGTTGACTGAATATTATGACTGACATGTATATTTTATATATAATATTCAAACATTTTTCAAATTCTAGACTTACTTTTTTGATTTGGTGGAAAAGAGAATTGGGGGAAAAGGGAAAGGTACACTTTTGGCGGAAACCGGCCATGCCCATTCAAAAGCGTACGATTGCGCGTGAAATTGGATGCGACGTTGCCAAATTATTATTTAAATATAAAGTAATTATTATTATAAAAAAAATCGAAAAATATTCATTAAAAAAAAACGTTACTTCTCAACGTTGCTTAGAAGTAAAAATAATTTAGCACACGCAATCGTACGCCTAAAAAGGTACCGCTGATAAGGACCGTGCGCAATCGTATTGTAGTCACTTTATTATATCGTTAAAATAATAAATCTCACATGAGTTTTATTTGTTTTTGCTGTTTAATATTTAAGTCTGATTGTTCACTTAATCGCATAGATCGTTGCACAAATTCGAATCTCTTTTTTCCGACTTCAGATCTCAATTCATGCAGTTTTTGACTAGTTTCTTTATAACTATTACAATTGTATGTAAATTAATAAAATATTACTGTATTATAGTTATTTGATATTTTACCTACCTATTTTTAAGTACAATTAACTCCTCTTGAAACAAATCTCTCTCCCTCAAAACCTCAATAAAATCATTTTTAAACTTGTTTCTTTCCTTGAACAAATTTTCAATTCTTATGGTTTTTTCAGAGTCTGTCTTCTTTAAGCCATCTACTGTATTGCTTAAAATCTCTATTTTTGAATTTAATGTCGAGATTTCTGCAGCTATACTCGATAGTTTTTCATTTTTTACACCTACATAACGTTGTGTACTTGTTATATAGTATTATTATTAATTAATTAGTTATATTTGACGAACCCAGTTCCAAATTCAACAAATTTTTTTCGTCGGTCATATTTTGCAAACTAATTTCTTGTTGTTCTAAATTAATTTCTTTCCTTTTTAAATTTGTTTTTAAATGTTCTAAATCATTTTCTAATTGATCTAAACTAATTCCACACGTCTGAATTTCTTTGTCATGTTTAACTTTATACAACTGGTGTTGAAGAGATTCTGCCAAACGTTTACTTTCCTCCAACTCCATTGTTACATCCTTATGTTGCTCTTCGAGTTCTTTAAATAATGTTTGGTAGCTTTTTTTCGACTTAAGAATTAAAATAAAAAACTCAAGCATTTATTACATGCACACATTCAATAGGTACGTATATTATTACACGAGTTTCTTAAAAGTTATATAGTATATTATTATGAATTAACCTATTTTTATTTACTTTTCATTTGTTAATTATACGGGTACAAATTAGGGACCTAGTATATAACATGTATATTTACCAATTTGTCAGACCTGTCGATGAAACGTTTCCTGAGTTCACTTTGAGATGACCTCGGATTCGATGAAGTTGGCGGATGAATAGATCCTGTAACCTTATTATATTTATGGCTTGCTAATGAATTTTGTGACATGGTACAAATATAACTTTTTTCCTCGGTGTACGTGTTTTTTTTCTTCGTGAATATTTTAATTGTGGGTCTAATCGGTGCTGATACCTGTTCTAAAATGATAGTTCAATTAAAATATAATTTTAAAATGTAAATGCCTGATTCAGGGACTAACTTTTAACTGATGAAACGGGCCTTTTAGATTTATTTTTAATAACGCGATCAGGCATGGTGAGGTTGTTGGTATTTTTGTTCTGCAAATGTTAACGAAATAAAAGTTAATAAAATTTAAATAAAATTATGTATTCACCCAACATAAAATGTAACACGAATAATTATAATGTTTCGAATATTAATTTTTAATATGTTGTAATAATTTACCATGGTAACTTAATAATTAACAAAGTTTAGTTGATATACTTATAACTTCAGTATCTAACTAATAAAAAAACATTTTTTTTTCAAACTCTTTTAGGTGGGTTTTAAAATAAATAACAAATAAATATATTTTGTTAATAGACGTGGGTGATATTGGATATTACGCATTTTTAATTTTTTAATTTTTAAAAATGTACAATGCACAGTGGACATACATCCCACGATACTATGGAAGTAGACATTAGACAAGTAGGTACTACTGAGCGAGTATAACTTAGCTTACTTAACTTCATTACTTAAGTAGTTTAGTACCACAAATCGCCGTATTGCTTTATGATCTATATACGCATGTAGATAAAATAATTAATAACGCAACAAATGTCAATGAATTATTGATTATATTAGGTCAACCATAGTTTATGCATTTTAGATTCTGAGCGGAGTGATTAATGTATTGATTTCAAAATCATGTGTGTTTTTTTATTTTTATTTATATCTATTTTCAAGTTTTGGGACAGTAATAATGCTTCGATTTTCGAAAGACATTTTTTCTGATAGGAAAGTAAATCTAATTGGTACTTTGAAGGGTAAAAAGTAAAAATTCCCAATAGTTTTTAAAAGCGGAAAGAAAAACAAACAAAAAATATTAAGGAAAAACAGAAATTTTTACCGAAACCCGGGTTTTGACAAAATCGATTTTTGTTTTAGATGTAACTCTAAAATAAAATATCGTAGATACCCAAACGGGAATGCCCGGAATTCGAGCTCACCTTGACGTTCGCACTCCGTCTAAACAGCATTCCTCTTTGTGTTACATGGTTATCATCCATTTTATCATCCATTAGATATGTGTGTATTTAATTTTTAAACCCATTTAATCAAAAATAAATAATATCATTTAAAAAACTAAACCGTGTATAGGTATTTAGTTCCGGCGCCGAGATTATGAATACGATATATATATATACATACAGATCTATCAATTTTAACCCAGAGATTATTAATAATAAAATGGTTCTATTTTATTGAGATAATTGAAACGTAACTTAAATATTCCACTAGTGTGGTATTAGATACCTTATAAAAGTAAAAAAAAGTAAAGTACAACTTCGTTTGTGGCCACATTTGATATCCTCATACTTAATTTTTTTTATTATTTAAATCTAGTGACAATATTCACATAACTATTACTTAAAGTAAAATTCCAGCGATTTATTTATATCCTATGATTCCTATGTGCAAGCTTGTTAGAGATAGAGTTCTGGTACAAAAAAATAAAATAATTCTTATTGTATCTAAATTAACAAAAACTTATCTTGATTGTCATCATCAGCCACAGAATTTAAAATGTTATGTGCATAAGATTAAAATGACTTACCCTGAGTTAAATTCTAATTAGTTTTTGTTGCATATGTTTAGTATTTTAGAGTGGTTTCAAAGCATATTCAGAGAGACTCCTCTTAAACGATAGATAAACTTTACGAATACCTACAGTCCTTAGGTATAATTATTAATTGAACTGAGGGAATAAAATGTCATATGCATTTATGAATGCATAAATGTCATCTTCTCCCGTACACAATATCAATTTCAAAAAGTCCTCTAATCTTTTGATAACAATTTTTTTATTTTGAGGTTTCTTTTCAAATACTAATTTTTTATGTTCTGTCTGTAATTTTACTACGTGTAATTAAATCTTTATCTTATTTTCCACCTAAACTAGAACTTATTTTTAGGGTAGGGTTTTTCTTTGGGCTAAGGCATTTAATAAGATTTAGGCGCTTTTAACTGGGCTGGCCAAATTTCACATTCCTATTGAGCAACTATAATCCTCAAAAAAAAAAAATGAGAAGAAACTGATTTTTAGAGATCATATTGGCTTTTTTACTGTGTGTTAGTAAAAAGGATCTTTGGGTGGCTCCTTTCTTAACAATTTATATGTTTTACCCATACTATATTTATTATGAAGTGTGTGGTATTATAGAGTCTATTAATATAATATTTATAAATAAAGGAAGTTTGAGACCAATAAGAAAAGCTTCCAAACACCATTCCTAATGCATACAAATATGAAATAGGCACGGAGTCATTATACTATATTGACATATTGTTAATTCAAGTTACAATGTTTCCAAGAAATAATTGAGTATATATAAAGTATGAAAAGTATAGTAATCATATTATGTATATAGATAAATCAACAACAATCTAATATAACAAACAATTTAAAAATAAATAGACACTGCACACAGTCACTTGTCTATATTTTGAATTATACTACATCGAGTATTAATATATTGTAGTTATGATATATATTTGTTATAAATTATTCTTATACAATAATACTATTATAATTTAATATTGGCGTACACGTTAACAAATATTACCAATTACCATTCTTTAAAATTACTAGTGATTTAAGGAAGGCCGCCGTTGTTACCTCCACGACACTGCTGCTGCCACTTCTTTGCTGTTTCCACCACTATCACTGCCTCTACCAAGACCAGCAATTGCCATGACCACCACGTAAAATCATTTTGTAAATGCATACGAAAGTGTGCAGTTGGGTAAAGAACCCGGAATTGGAGCAAGCGAATACCCCTGCATGTGATGGTTGTAGAACTTGTCCAAACTTGTACACACGTTGCAGTTAAATAAGTTGGTTTTGTGTGGCTTCTACAAATTATTCCTTTTTTAACTGAAGTTTCAACATTATTATAAGGGTCCTCATAAGAAGTTCTTACTGAAACAGGAAAAAATAAAAGCAATTGAATAATTAAAGTAAGATTAACAATTTTAGGGACTTTGTGTGAAAATAATTATATTTTACTATACCCAATGACGTTTTAAAAGTATTTAAATTAATTTTAAAGTTTATATTCTAACCACAAAACGCCTACTGTATTACTAATAGTCAAATAAATGACCTACTATCATATAAGTAATATATATATATATATATATATAAATGTATAAAAAATATACTTTTTAGTTACTAATATCTAATATATTCCTCTCAGAATTGTTTTCATATGCAATGATTTATTATTGAACTCAGACTTAACACATCTACTACAATGACCTATACTCAACAACGAGGTACACTCACCTCCTACTGTACAGCAGAATGGTTATCTACAGTTTATAATACAGTTTATTAATAGTTAATTTTCGTAACATACAAAGAGGAATTAAGTGCTCTGGTTGTTGATAGTACCAGAATGTATACAATAAGAGGTACAATGTGTCCGCTTTTACTACATGTGTAAGGTTATGTGTCCAATTGGTAAAAAGATATCAACACAAATCGCAAATGTACGTAAATGGATATATCTCTGTTTCAGCAAAACTGTGAACTGTGGTTTGAATGTTTGAATAGTTACTTTGCTAGGTGCAGGTGAATAGAATACGCCATATTGGTACTCACGTGGCCATAGCACACCATGAAGATTTGAATCCTAATGGAAATAATTTATCATGCCATATTTCTTCATGGTGATATTCTTGCTGTGTCAACAGCACCAATGACGTACTTGCAACCTTTGAAAAACGATTATGTTGAGACATCATGTATCATGTGAACGATTTCATAGACCACGGTACGGGACCCTAAAGTACTGTGCTTGTATTGCAAGCACTATGTAACTGCCACACAAAACCAACATATTAACTACGACGTGTGCAGAAGTTTGGATTGCAAACCCTACAACCAGTACATATAGTGGTATCCTGGTGCTCTAAGTCCGGGTACTTTACCCAACTGCACACTTTCACGTAACGATTTTACAAGATTGTTGTTGCATTTGCTGTTCTTGGTATTGGCAGTGACAGTAGCAGTAAACGTGGTGGCAACAGCAAAGAACATGGCAGCAGCAGTGGTTGTGGAGGTAGAAACGGCGGCCTTCCATAAATCACTAGTAATGTTAAAGAATGGTAATTGGTAAAATTTGTTAATGTGTAAATATTATATAACATAAATGTAATAGTATTATTGTATAAGAATAATTTAATAACAATTTAAATAGGTATCTATAAACCTATTATTGTGTAGTTTTGCTGAAAGAATTAACAATTTTACAGTCAAATATCATAAATTTAAAATATTATAGAAGTGTTTAATAAGTTAACATTATTTTAAACTTTATGTTGTATACAACCATAATGTTTTATTGTATATGAATACTTAAAAAAAATTTTTTAATAATATTTTAAAAGTAATAATAATACTGTGAAAGTTGACATAGTAGGCAATTATGAAATATTATAATAACTTCATAGGCATAAGTTTATACCTATTCAATAATTGTAACAATTTTATTAGTGCTACTTTTTTTTAGATTCAAAAGAATTTGTTGATATTATTTCATAATTATTAACTATTAAGAAGTTATGTTTTTATTCATATACAATATACTAGTTTTTGAGACAATGAATATGAAAAAAAAATATTATTACTAGATGTTTAAAAATAAAATTCCAAAAAAGTGAAAACCAATGGTAGAAACTCTTAACTCCTATTTGTTGAGTATTCAATTATATTTGTACATAATTTATAGAATAATGAAATATTTGCTTTCTATAATTTCTAACTATAAAAAAAAATAAAAAATAAAAATAAAATAAAGAAATAAAACTACATCAAACCATAACTTTTTACTAAATTGGAAAATGTCGCCTACTTGCATGGAAGTAGACAGTGTTACTGAATGGTTTTTGAAAAGCATTGGGTAACATAAATATTTGAAATTCAATAAGGTCATTAGTAAGTTATAATTTTTAAACTTTGCATAGTCGAAATTCAACCAAATTTTCAACAATAAATAAATTATTAGACTATGTTTTGATCTACAAAAAATATTCAATTACATAATGTTACATCATCATACATTTAATGTAGAACATGTTCAAACATATCTATAATTGTTTTGAAAAATATAAAATATTTGATGTATTCATGTTTGTACAAAACTAATAAAATATTGTAATCAAATACATTCCTTTCTAAAAAATAATAAATAATGACTTAATACATATTAAGAATTGCAATGATTCATGCAATGCCATCAACAGTATAACAATGAGTAGGTAGGTATTATCTAACTACTATTGGTTACCGGTGATAGGAAGTATGGCAAGAAAAGGTTGTTTCAAAATATTGACATAAGAGGCAAATTGCGCCTATACCTATATCAAGTTTTATAATTTGGCTAAGACAATAGATTACCAACATACACAGGCATACCCATTAATATTAATTTATAAAAACATTCCAAATTAATTTGAAGCATTTTACAAATTAATATACATTTGAAAGGTAAGTTATCTTAATTATGTACCTACCTACTTATTAAATTTAAAAAAATATGTAGATACATAGATAATATCTCTAAGACTTACTTCTTGTGTAGCAAGGTAATCGATTTTAATTGTGGTTTCAGCAGCCTTCTTCTTTATTTCATTAAACATAACTTTGGTGCGTAGCAAGTCTTGCATAACATATTTATGGCTTATGGTCATTGGTTTTGACCTATAGAAAATTCAATAGGTTCATCAATTTAATTACAATGTGATTGTTATTTTTTTTTCATATTGAAGTAGTGAGTATGTACATCGAGTACATGCGTGATGGCAATTGGTTTGCGAATGGTCACATTTCATTTTTGTAAGCTTCAAGTTTCATATTTTGTTGGACAGAGGAAATGACTTCAGTGAAATGTTGGGAAAAACACTTAAAACTTTGTAATAATACGGTAAATGATTGGAATAATTATTTACGGGAATTAAATTACTTTTTTGTAAACTATAGTCACTATACTAATAAAGACGTACATTGCAGCATGAGTTCGACATCGAGGTAGTCGCAATAACCCATAAGTAGGTACCTACCCATTTTCATGTATTTTTGTAATGATCATAATTCGTAATTAATAAGATACTTACCTCAGCATTTCACAGCGGACAATGCCCGACCGCACGGACTACGATTCCGAATGGTTTTAACATTAACTTATTGAGATAAAAGTGAGCACGATACACTTCCATGTTCCATCAATTTCGTTTCGTAAGTAGATTGTGTCGGCGATTTAATTACTTCGTGGAGTACTCAGTACACTGATTAAGCCTCGTTCACACGGCGACAGTGTTGCATGACACCAGTGTCGCGATATCCACGAAATTAGATATAGGTACGACAGTAGTGTCACGACACACAATATCATTAGTGTCATACACATACTCATTAGTGTCACCGTGTGAACGAGGCTTTAGGAAAGTGGTAATTCCCGAGTGTCTCCAACAGTTGTAATTGTAATGATCAGACAGAATAACGGACACGTTTTTATTGTAGGGCGGGTGTCGGTCAGTGTCACGTTTTTGCTGTCAGGAATGAGCGAGCATGAGGCCCGTTTCCCATGGACGCATATCATACGCGACGTATCGTCCAAGCGCGTTTTTTTTTAAGTGTACATTACATTGGTTAAATTCATACGCACCACTCCGACGGTGGTGCGTTTCTCTCGCAGGTATGGCATGTATGAACTATAGACATATTATATTAACAATGTATATGGACAATATTAATCTAAACATTTTTTAATTTTAATTTTTTTTTTTTTTAACTAAAAACGCGTGCGTGCGATACGTCGCGTATGATATGCGTCCATGTGAAACATAAATATCCGAGAAGTTGCGTTGCGTCAAAATAGAGAGGGCATTAATATTCATAATACATCTGACCATTCTGACGATGTCTAAATATTTTCTGTTGTTTCATTTCACGTTCCTATAAATCAAAATTCTGTATTTAAAAACTATTAATACCAGTAAATAGTAAATAATTGTATTGTATTATTTCCCGAGATTTTACAAAAATGAATACTTTCAAATTATACATCAATGCTATTGTCTGTCGCACTAATGCTGTCTCTGTTGACAAATATAAAAAAGGTTTTACATCTATCATAAGGGAAAATTTTTTTTCTTTTCTTTTTAGATTCTGAGCTGTGAATATAATATTGGTTATACAATGATGAGTATTTATTTTTACATTTATTTATTGTCTATCATAATTAACTGTTTCGCAGATACTTTTAAAATTGTATTAGATATATACAAATACCATACATATTACCCAATGAATACGTAAAAAAATTGCATATTTAACATTTGTACAAAAAATAACAATTTGAGTTATTTTGTTGTAATTAAAATAATATTATTGAACCTATCTCATACCCAGCCAATCACATTTAAAAAGTGATGGATCTTGGACGGAAAAACCTAAGTCATATTCGTGTTTAATATTTTAATAATTTTGCTGTCATAAATTGATTAACAAGTATATGTCTTTAATAGTTTATACATTCAACTTACAAATTACAATGCTTAATCAAAACAACATTGTAGAAACTTTCAGAAGTAGTTAGGTATAACTATATGTGTGGAATACAGATATGGGATTGTGCCAAAGCATCCCAAATAAAAACAATTGAGGTCTTTCAATCAATTACCCTCCGTTTATTAATTTCTGCACCTTGGTACGTCTCCAACAACTCACTCCTAAATGATCTTAACATTGAAACCATAAACAAAGTTGAATCCAATCACTATAATTAATTCCACTCAAAACTTTTAATAAATTCCTCCTGAGGGTACTGTCACTGGACAGCCTCCCTCCTCATACTATTCATGTGATGTTAATATTATTCTATTATCCAATTTGCTTATTGTTCCTATGTTACAGATTGTAAATTTTTCTATTTAAATAATAAAAAAAAAACACTATGTATAACAAATAGTACACAACTAAATAATAATCAAGTACTGATGTACTGCATATTAAGATTTTATTATTAATGATTGCCAATTTAACTCTAATACAGACACTCATTTAAAGTGTTAGTCTTATACAATTTATTCTTAATATAATATGAAATTTAAATTTATTATTAGGATTTGAATTTAATGATTTAGAATTTGATGTATAAGTTTTTTGGCGAAAAAATATTAAATTGGGGGAACAGACCACAAAGAACACTGGGCGTGATAAGAATGCCAAAAATCTGATGCTGGGAAGCTCTAGTGTATCGTCAAATATTATAAATTAGTCTATACATATATTAAATAACCCATCAATTAATAATTATAATAACATCCATAACATCTTTAATATCCAAAATTTTAAAAACTTATTATTATTATTGGTTTATCAGTATAAACATTTACTTATACCAACAAATCATGGTTATTGTACAAGATACCAAAAAAAAAATGTGAATTTGACTAAGTATAAATAGAATTACAATTTCGGTAAAATTAAATCCATTATATGCTAGAATTGGTTTTTGTCTTCAATCTAATATAAACATATTGAGTTTCCAAAATTGAATATTGTATAAAAACTTAATTAATAAATTAATATTACAATGGTGTGAATCATATATTTAGTTTAAAATTTTATTAATTTATATACTTACCTTTATTGATACAGCTCTTAATTTTTTATTTTACCTATTACCTGTTTATTTACTATGGTACAAGTAATTATATCATTCAATGTAGAATCTACTAAATAGTATTAAACTAAATGATTTAACCGGGAGTATCAAAGTCAAAGGAATTGTATTGGTGATTTAATCAAAATAAAATTTTAGAGTATACATTTCTGTAAACAATTTCAAATACGGTAGAGATTGTTTAAAATTACATTCAAGGGACCAAGGAAAATAGGTCATATTAACCAAAAGTTACTACTACCGATAAAATCTAACATATAAAACTTACCAATGCATTTTTCGGGTCCTTTAATTTAAAGTCACAAATTTGATATGTCACTACAATTGGTGTTATTATAAACCATTTCTACTGTAAATAATTTTATTTAAAGAACTATAAATAAATATTTAAAATGTGTAAATGTAGGTACATTATTGTGACACTCCATTTTATGTGTCATTTAAGCCTGCCACGAAAAAATAGCTTGTTGTAAAACCCAAGTATATGAACTCTGTAAATAATCAACCCTATTTAAATCCTTTTCCATAATATTTTCAAGAATTAAGGTATTACCATTAGAAAAGTCTCGACATTAAAAATTATTTAGTATTCATTGAATATTATTCAGTGTTCACTTCTCAACTATTTATAAATGTATTTTTTATAATATACTAGTATTCAAACAAGTTTATATTTCATTCTCAAGTGCCAGTGTGTCACTGAAGTCTATATTAAGCTAGTTTAGTGCAAGATTATAGCTCTTGTCGTTAATGCTTGTTTCAGATTATACATCAAACAAATTTTGGAAATTAAATCCCAAAAATTATACAAGGAGAACAGCAGAACCATGTTTAGAAATTTGGTTCTCTGGGCATCATCATCCTCTAAAATCTAAATACCAATTTTTAATATTATTTACTATCATATATTTAAAAAAAAAATATTTAACACATTTTAAATTAATAATAAAATCATTTATCAATTCGTTTTCATATTTTAACATTGGCAAAATGAACAGAACATTTTCTTTAAAAATAGAAAAAAAATTAAATTTTAGACTTAAATTTTATAGTATACAATTCTTAACATATTTTGCTTAACTAGTATTTTATAGTCCAAAAACATTTGTCTGGCACCACAAATAAAAATTGCCTTACACAAAATATTTGGATATCAATGTAAAATCAATAAGAATTATCTTATATTTAACTAATTATTCAAAATGTTATTATTTTGTTTCTAAAACAATTAAATTAAGTACAATATAATGTCTTGTATTATGAAATATTTATCCCTTAGAGTATTATTATAAAAAAAATTAACATTTTCTGTTTATTGTTTATATGATAGATATAGAATGTTTAAAGGGCTCCAACATATGAGTGTAAATCATTTCTTAGTGTTATCATGATTTGGGAATCGATTATTTAACAACCGATCATTTTCAAACCTTGATTTAGCTAATGCCGTTTCCTTTTTTAGATTCTCGATAATTGCATCTTGCCCAGCAATTTTTTTTTTTAGATTATTTACCAAAATTAATGTACGTTCATATACTTCTTTTGCGAAAGATAGATTCGATGCATAATCACAAGATTCACAATTCTGACAAAAAATCTCATTTTGAACAGACTTTGTGGGCGAAATATCACGAGACTTACTTTTTTGATTAGCAATTCTTTCTTTACAAGCTTTTGTTGACGCAATATCACAAGACTCATGTTTTTGATCGGGAATCCCTTTTAGAACAGACTTGGTCGGTGAAACATTGCGAGACTGATTATTCTGATCGACAATTACTTTATTAGACAATTTTGTTTGTGAAATATTACAAGACTTGCGCTTCTGACGGGCAATCCTTCTTTTAACAGTTCTTGTTAATGCAATATCACAAGACTCACGATTCTGACTGGAAATCTCGTTTTGTACAGACTCTGTAGGTGAAACAACACGAGACTGGCTAATCTGATCGGTAAATTTTTCATTAACAGCTTTTGTTGGTAAAATCTTAGGAGACAAACGATTCTTATCAAAAATCACTGTTTTTGGTGAAATATCAGAAGACTCAAGCATCTGACTGGAAATCCCTTTTTTAACAGCATTTACGGTCTTTAAAATATCACGAGACTGATGATGCTGGACGGCAATCCCTTTCTTGTTGCAATTTTTTGATCTTCCTAAGACAGAAAAATATGTTATTTGTATTGCGGTCTATTATACAGCTGACATTAATTATACAGGAGTATCAAGTAATAATTATAATTCAAGTTTGACTTGTACAGTTGTACTGGGTATCATATTTTAATTGTAATAATTTATACACTCAAAAATAGTCATAACTTATATAGTTACATTTAAAATACAGAGTACTGACAGTCTAAGAACTTGCCAAATTATGCTGGACAGATTGTGTACTTATCCATTTCTATGAATATCTTAAGATGCACTTGACTATCATTTTATCTAGTTTTTAGTTTATTGTTATTTAAATTTAAACTAACTATTGTGCTATTTTAAATAGTTTATTTATTGTGTTGTACTACCTGCTGGAACTATACAATAATAATAATATGCAACAATAAATTATTATCATTAATTTTTTTTTCTTTGAGTGATAGTTAGCTTAAACTAATTTTTAATATAAATATATTTTGTATTATATGTACATGATATTAGATTAATTATAATAATATAATATTATTATTACTATAGTTCTAAGCTTATAAGTCAAAACCGAAATACTAAAGAATAGTATGAATAAATTATAATCCAATTAAAGTTATATTAATTTTTTTACTATTTATTTATGAATAAAAATATAAACATAATAATAGCAAAAAGTTTCAAGTCTCTACAATTAATATTATTCGAATTACAACATTACAACAAAAAAACTAAAATCCATGCCCTAGAGGAAAATCATTTATTTTATAAAAATCCAAATTTGTTAAATCATCAAGCAGGTATATCTACAAAAAAAACTATAACTGATATTATTCTATCCTTTCAATATTTTTAAATTGCTATAAATTTCCTTTTTTTAATTGTTGTAATAAATTATCAAAGTTTTTGGCAAGAGAAATTAATTTTGTTAACATTTATAGAAAAAACTGTCAACAGTTATTAATTTCTGTGAATAAGTCAGTCAACATTTTTTTAAATAATTAGAAAATGCTTATTTTAATATCTATTGAAAATTAAAACTTTTAAAAGCATCTAGGGTTATTTAATTTTGAATCACAACAGAAAAACAAAATAGATTTTGTCAAAAACTAGTGTTGCATAAGTATTTTTGACTTTTTAAATTTTTGAATAGTTGGAATTTTTTACACTTGCCTCTCACAAAGTAGCCATTGTACATTTTAGAAACCCCCTTCAACTATTACGACTGACTAATTTTTTCTGGTATGAAATGGGTCTTTACAAAAAACATACATGATTTTTTAACCAATACATTCTTTGCTTCTCAAAATCCAAAAATAAATTAAATTTAGAATTGTAATTTTATAATTAGGCACTAAAATCAGTTATTTTATATTCCATAAAGTTTAGAAAACTCGCAACGGAAACACATCAAGATTTGCTCATGGTATTATGTACCGTCTACAATTATAATATCAAACATTATTAAATTTGGCTGTAATTCAATGAATGAATAGAAATATAACAATAATAAGTAATAACTATTTATTAATACAAAATGATTAACAAGTAATGAGTATATAAACATTGAAACGTGTATGGCTCACCAAGGAAATACAAAGTTAATAGTTATACTTTACTTTTCTCAATGATGTGGCTACCACTAAAATTGTTCTTTTTATAATGTAATCAGTGAATATGCAATATTAAAACCTCTATTATATATTTTTGTTTATTACCCATTATACTATAAATAATTATAAAATACATTTTTGCAAAATAGATTTATGTATTTTAAGTATATTATAATGGTTTTAATAAAAAATTAACATGACAGTAAAATTAATTAACCTATAGGTTACTACATAATATTAAAAAAATTTAAGTCGTTAAGTTAGAAGTTACTTAAAAACAAAAAGTAACTTTTTAGGTAACTTACCTTTAACTTTTTAACTCCTTAATATCAAGCCTAGCATAAATATAACATATAAAAGCTAATAGTTTTGTTTTATTCATTTAAATTTAAATATATATATATATATATATATATATGCCTATTATCGGCCTTCAATAAAATTATATGCTCTTAAATTTGATGGTTATAAACAGGGCTCGGGATTCATAGCAATTAAAATCATTATAATAAGAGGTTAAAACAACATTATAAGCACTCAAATAAACATTTAAAAAACTTAAATTTAAGCAAAATTATTTATATTACAAAAAAAATAAACTTCACTTTTGAGACTTTAAGGATTTTCTGAAAAATAAAATGTAAACAATATTTACAAATAGTTGAAAAAATGACGGACTAAAACAATGTACATAAGATAAGAATTATTTTTAATTTTAATTTTATCAAAAACAACTGAAAGAGAAAATCATAAAAATGTAGAAAATGTAGAAAAACTGATCAAAAAAGCAAAAGTAATCAGAAAAACTGGAAATAAGCATTTTTTTTTGAGAAATCGGTGAAAAAAGGAAAAGAATGGCACTTTCAAATTTCATAATAATTGGACGTGTTGTAACCTGACATACACTTCCTTAATACTCTGCTACATTTTAATTCTATCCATAAAAATAAGCAAATGCTTTAATAAGTGCTTATAAATAATTCATATATCTTATTTTTATACTTTTATTACTTTCAACAACTACAAAATTTGTTTTAATTAATCAATATTATATGACATAGGTAATACAATTTTGTCCGCCATCTGGTTCAACTAGAATATTACATTCACAAGTCATCATATTGGTTCAAGCCTGTCTTCATACATGAAACTTCAAAGCTTTTAACAATTTTACTTTTGAGAATGATCTTTAAGAGAAATTCTTTGATGTTATAATTAGTGCAATGCTAAATACTGTGTTTAGAAAAAATTAATCACCAGATATTCCTTATCGATGGGGATATCACGCATCAATTATTTCATTAGCTGGCTATCAAATCATTGGTCGGGTTAGTTTTAATATTTGAGTGTGATATATTGCTTACATATTGTGTTTCCATTTGTACCTATTACACAGATACAAATATGCCAAAAACTTGAAGCAGTTTAAAAAATTTATTTACTCAATGGATTTTGTCGTACAACCAATAAACCATTTTCTTGATAGATGGTACAACAATTTTTTGCTAAAATTATGACAAAAATATTTCGTGCAACAAGAAGTCACAGGTAACACAACATATACATACAATTTTCCACAAAAACGGATTGAAACATGAATGAAGTACTTCATCAAATAAATTATCTTTATTAGAAGCTACCTACTCATATAAAAAAACATTTTTAATGATTTGTCTAGAATTAGTAACAGCTAATACACCATGGTATAAAATGCAAGTTCTTCAATTTTGTACAGTTCTAGAAAAATACACTCGAAAACATATTGCAGATAAAAGTGTGTTAAGTAAAAATTATCGCAAGTTAGGCTACTATAGTACTTAATCTGAAATTTACAACTAAATTGATGAAAATAATATTTGGATTGATGTAGAGTGTATATGAAACTACAGATACAAACAGTTGTTACATTGTGAATTTAATAGTGGGAATATTAAAATAAGATACTCTGACTTTCTAAGACTAATCATTCCACTGTTGCATGGTTTATCAATGAATACAATTATTATGGCCGTTGGGTGAAAATGACTATAAAGTGCTGTTAATGTTATCGGATGCAGCTCTATACATGAGAAAAACCGGTAATAAAATTAAAATGTAATACCCTAATTTAATTCATGTTATGTGTGTAGCTCACATGATTCTCAGGTTTGCAGATCAATGTTGCCAAATGTGAACAAATTTAAATGTTTTATAGAAAAAGCATTTTTTTTAAGCACTTTATGATGTCTAGGTGTACCAATAAATATTGCCTAATGTGTCATTACCTCCAGAACACGTATGGGGAATTAGGCTGGAAGTCGCTATATTTAATTACGACAAATTTGAGGGTTTGAAAAATGTTATAGACAAATTAAGTGGAGGAAAGTCGTTGACTAGTATTGAAAAATGCAAAACATGTTGAATACTTACAGTCTGTAAAAAATAATATAATTTTTATTAAGACTAAATTATCAAATTTTTGAAACTAACAAAAGTTTGGAAAAATCAAATGCGTCCTAGTTGGTATGATAAATATTATTGAAAATACTACTACACAACTTGAGCGGATACTAGAAGAAAAATGAGAAGTAGTAAAAACAAAAAAATATTGAAAAGTCAACAAAAAAAAAACAAGGATACAAATTTTTGAAGAATATCTGAATGGAAATAACACAGTACAATTTCCAGAAAATTATTCACCAACTATGGTAACTGATTTTCAATATTCCCTAATGACATTTGTTTATGACCCTTCAGTGTGCTATGGACTGGTGTTCCGCTTTAGCCCAATTATAGTATAATCGACAATACATTCATATGCATCAACCACATAACCAAAAGGGTAGGCTAGGTATAAATAATAAATATGCATACAGGAGGAGCCGGTTTGAATAGTAAAGTAAGGTGACAGTTTTGGTACTTAAACTAACGGAAAAGGATGCATAAAAAATGTGGACTTGACATTTTGTTGAAATTCTACAAATTATGGGGACATACAATAAAAACAATACACACAAGATGTACCATTGGAACGATGATTATGTAAAATAGAATACAGAATACAACATATTAAAATGCATTAATGTAGTTATAATAATACTTTATGGTATCGTGTAGAAGATATTTGGAAATGCCACGATATCCAGGATATGCGCTCATATAGTCATATCAGAGAGTGGGCCGTAAGCATTTCCAGAATGATAATCAGTAGACCCGACATCCGTGGGAACGATACTCGGATAGGAGAGTTTAGGAAAAGTAAAGGGAAGACCTGTATAAGAGAGCCCTGACTATCCCATATTCAGATGTGATTTGGCCAGACAAGCCAGAGCACCTTCACGCCAGCTAGTCTTTCTATTCTATAATTTTGGATTCAGAAAATATTTGAGTCAAACCGCTTATTTTCTGAACACTTCTCTGAGTCAAATATTTTAATACAGTGTCATAGTTCACCAGTTAGTATTAAAGTGTCTAAATTGAAATAATACATTCAAATTTATTCAAACTCATTTCAAAAGGTGCACCTCATCCTCTATCTTTCAACGGCACCTGTAGTTGTCAGACCACTAGAAATGTATACAAAACATTCACACAAAGTGGAGTACTAAAATTACATCAGAACATATGGAACAATTAATAGTAATTAATTGTTGTTGTAAAATAAATAAAATAAAATAAATTTAAAAAGTTATTATAAACCAAATTAATAATACAATTTAGGTAATAATAAGTATGAACTGAATATTACAATTTTTTTTTGGATATTTTTAAGGACATAAAACCTCATTTATCTGCTATTTAAAAAGAATATTAAGATGCCTATTTGAAACAACATAAAAACATCATATTTTTAGGATTTTAAGAGAATATAAATCCGATTTTTAGCAACAACAGTATAAATACCAATAGAAGTTTATTTTATTCAAACATATTTTCAATTGTAAATGATTTGGTTTCAAAATGTTTAATCTTCATTCATTTAGCTTTTAGGCATCAAATCATAATACTGATTATATTACATTTTCTAACTAAATAAACAAATTTAAAAAAAGAAGGGACAGAGACTAGACCAATTACATAAATAATGTTCAAAATTCTAAAAATATTAACCCAACATATTCTTGGAAATTTTTCCAAATAATGTTTTTTATAATTATTTTATACTTAAACAGAAAAGATTTTAAGATTATTAATTATATAGATAATTGATCTATTTTTCTAGAATATAACCAAATCAAATATGCTATTAGGTACTTACGACTATTGAATCCCCTTTCTATATTAATACTATTTATATAACACTTACAGATATATTTGATGAACTCAATAAATCAAATTTAAATTTGAATATTGGCCATAACAATTTGAAGGTCAAATTTTTATAAAAATGTTGTTTTATTCGTGTACCTCTTATATATTTTATTTTTAACAATCATACAAATTTCCCACAATATGAAAAACTTTATATATTTCCCAAATTATTATTATTATTATAATTGTTCTTCTAAAATAAACTACCATCCTATTTTAAAGATTTCTATACTATATTTCTTAAATTAATAAATAAAAAAATGTAACTTATTACAGATTTTTTTTTTATCTAACGATCAACAAGTTTTCTGTAAGGTTCTTCTTTTATAACCAATTTTGACCATCTTGAAAAAATATTATCTTGTCTTTTTCAAGTAGATTTAAAAAAATGGATACTATAGTTTCTGTTATTGAAAAAGCATTTGATATAATGTTGATTATTTTATAATTTGTTGACAATAAATACATTTAAAAAGTTTGGATGTTTGCAGTCATGATATACCTCCTTTTTATCAAATAGAATCCAGATTATATAATTAAAATATTTTCTGTCAAGAGTTTTATCTATGTTTTTTCTGGTGTTCCTCAGAGTGACCATGTTTAACCAATATTGTTTTAATTATTTATAAATTATATTCAATTGTTTAAAAATAGGGCTCGGATTTAAATTCTTTTTAAAAATGTTAAAAAATGCCAATCATCGCCATTAAATAAACTTATGGCACTAAGAAAGACTATTGAAGTTAATTTTTGTTGATAATTAATTGCGATTAAACAATTAAGTACCATATGTTTATATTGTTATATTTTTTTATTTTTTCAATGGTTCATAAAAAGTGGGACTCCCATATAGAAATCTCCCTTCTCTATTATCACAACTTACCACCTCTAATTGCTGTTGGTTTTAAATTTAACTCAAGTATTGTATAATGAACAAAAACAACTTTTAATATACATTCATTCAGTAATTATATGATCCTACAAATATTTTATGAAAACAAAATTAAGACAATGAAGACAATAAGACCAATTAATCCAGTAAATCATATTAATAGTAGAACCCAGGCACTATTCACTTATGCCCAACAATGGCATAATAATTCTTGTTAATAAGTTTAGGAAATCTACTGCTGTTAATCAGCGCACAATGGGTGTGTATTGTAGGTAGGTAACGCCCGGCATTCAAACACATTTAATTATTTCGATAATATTGTCAAATATACTAACTTAATATGTTTATAGAACTATGAAAATATTACATTATAGTACATTACATTTTAATTTAATATAAATTCTTAAATTAATACATTTGTTTCGATATTTTAGATAGGGTACGTGACTTCATTTCTATAGAACAAGCTGCCACTGTATTTATTTAAAGTGAAGTTTAATATTATTTGTGCAAAAAAATTATTTTTATATATTACACATTTTTTATATGTAGAGATTAATTTGTAAATGGAGTTTTCTTTATGAATAAAGAAATTATAGAGTACAAATGTAATTATACATTATATATATATTATGTACAAATGTAATTATTACACCAATGTGCAGTCTACATATTGTATTCAACAATAAGCTCTAACCAGTGTTAAATCCATCCCTCAGAGCCCCAACATTCTCATCATGACACACATTTAAATGAATTGTTTACACCTATCTTGAAAGAAAAAACAATAAAAAGTTTTTTTTAGTAAAAAAGGGCAAATAATTTTTAATGGCTTTATTTTGATGTTGTAATGGTGCTTTTTGTATATTATGTGAAAAACATCCAGTAAATAATTCTGTAGGTACTATTGACTAGTACAAGAGGAGTTTTTTTTATTTATACACCATTTAATAATTATAAAAAAGCACTAGGAAAGATGGTAAATTAAATAACCACAACAATTCTGCATCACATGTTCGTATTATGGAGGAAGAAAGACTTGACTTTGGTAGTCTCAAAAAATCTCATTTATTGCCAAATTTTAAATCAAAGTTTTCGAAGAATATTAAATCAAGAGAAAACATTTCTTACTCTTTTATTTTTTGGCTAAAGAAGAAATAACACACACAACCAAGTATGAATCTTTAGTTAAGTGTTTAATTATAAAAAGTAGTGAATCACTTGAAAATTAAATTGACACAAATAGTGATAGATCTACATATATCAGTAAAACTATAGCTATTGAACTTTTATTTTGTGCGTCAGAAATATCAATAAGTAAAAAATTAGATAGTGAAAATACTGTAAAAAACATTTTGTTAATGACTAATGAAAGCACAAATGTTAACAACAAATCTGAACTATCTATATGTATTAGTTTTGTTAAAAATAATCGACCAGTTGAACAATTTCTTGATATTATAAATGTATCCGATACAAAAGGCCATAGATCGTAAAGGAAATAAGAGCTAAATTATCAAAACATAGTCTATCCTACCAAAATATTATTGCATGTGGATTAGATGGGGTTGCAAACCTGTCCGGAAATAAAATTGGAGTTCGTAAAATTATTATTGAAAAAGCCAGAAGGAAAATTTCTTGTATACATTGTCGAGCACATATATTATCACTTGCACTAACCAGGTGGGATTTTGTTAAGTCTCCACGAAGAAAGTTTTATTATTTTGTTGTGTGGATTGGATGAAATACCAAAAAGTTTAAAATAAGATAAATATAATAGCACTATTATAAAAAAATACTACCAAAATTTCAAATACACTTGATCCGTAAAAATGATGACAGCATTCAAAATACATTAGGGTATATTTTATCATTTTTAGAACAAGTAATAAAAGAGATGGATTGTGATTTAATGATACTAATTTGAAAATTATAGTATGTTATTGTATGCATCAGAAAAATTGATTGAACAGCTGTGTGAAAGTTTATCCATATCAGAATATGATAAAGACTGTATGATCTTAGATTTCAAGTCTTTTAAATTTGTAGCTATGAATTAAAAAGTGATTGGTGGACACCCAATATCTGAAATTCTTGAAACTAATATAGGTTTTATCAAAATTTAAGAAAAATAGCAAGATTAGTTGTTTGCATACCAGTTGCCACTGCTACGGTTGAACAATCATTTAGTGCAATGTATTGGATTATGTTAAACCTTTGAAATCACATGGGAATATTATATGAAAATAAGTATGGGAGGCAAGAAAGGCCCACTTCCAGAGTTCATCGAAGAATCAATTGATTTATAAGCAAAAAAAAGCTCATCATATTAGATTAATTAAAAAAAAAAAATTAATAATTAATAGGTTTCTAATTTATTTAGTGATTTTTCAACATTTATAATTACTTAATTGTTATATACAATAGTAATACAATTTATAATAGTCACTTTCAGTGGCGTGTATCATAAAAAAATTAGGTGTTGCTCTAATAATTGTTGGTGACCTACTCCTCATTATACTGTTATACCGACTTATAAAATGCCCTATTTTTCTTTTATCAATACCCACCCACCCATATTTAAGGTGTTGCCTCAGCAACACTTGGACCCTATGTTACACGCCACTGGACACTTTAGATTGGTTTATAAATTAAAAATAAATAATTTGTTTCTAATTTGTATCTAAATTTAAAATGTATATGTTGTAAATTGTAATGACTAATAATATGTATAATTCATATTATTAAAATGTATCACCATTCACCAATGAAAAAAGAACCCCCTCTTACCCCTAAAAAAATGGTCTGGATTCAACACTGGTTCTAACCAAATATAATACTGAACATCTTATACTTATAATCCACCCACTATTTAACACAAATTTAGTTTAAATGAATTAAGTATGACTGATATACTTAATAATGAAGATTCACCATTGTTACAAGAACTTATTGGAAGCACCAGTGTAAGAATTGGACAATAATTAGCAATAATAATTGAAATAAATGTATTATATAATACCTTTCACATTTTTTGGTGGCATATTTGTGATTTTATCATGGCCTTCTTTAAAAATGGTTGGTTCAGCATCCGAAGAAAGTCTACTCCTCATTGCACCGGATTTAAAACATGACTGCTTAAAGTGTAGGGAACATATCTTATGGTTTGGTAAGACTTCTTCATTAGTTAATCCACAATGGTTGAGCCAGATTTGCCGTTTTTTTGGATGCACTGGAAATCTAACACAAAATAATAGTCAACTGATTAGACTGGCATGTTTTTGTCCGCCTAAGCTAGGATAATTATTAATGATACTTACCTATGGAAAGACTTCATGAGAATGGGATATTCAGGCACGGGTTTCTCACACAGAATACAACTTTGAGACGGTTTTGTTAATTTTCCAGTTTTCACTATTGAAAAAATTAAATCATTGATTTTAATGGTTGTGTTACATTTTAACTCCATAATAAATCATTACATACAAAAAAATATGGTTCTGAGCAGAGCATGTATTTACTAGCCTACATTTCTAACAATATCTTTAAATAAGTTTATTTGTATTTTTATTTATTGATAGTAATGTTCTCGAGGGCCGAGAGTACAGTTTACACTGTTCAAAATAAGAATAGTAGTCAGACCGTTTGTGTGCATGGATCTGGCAATACTAACAGCAGGTATATAGATAGATGACTCGGTGGGAATGACAAAAGGGCTTTGCCTGACCATCAGCAACAAAAACTCGTTGCCACCAACCACTATTTTTATTTTGAACAGAGTATAGATACAACATAAGTTGGAAATAACATGTGATGGAAATAAAAAAACTTAATAGTTTTTTCCTCAGACCGTATGAGATAAAATTGAATTTTTAGCATGGTATTATAATGTTAACACAGAATAACAGATTTATGTGTGTATAGCATGAACTAGACTGTCACTAATTATAATTGTCTTAAGCCAATATTATTATTTTGCGAACGCTCTCTTGGAGAAAGTTCTTAATATTGGAATTGTGCTATAATACGTGCTGTTAATAGAGCAGAGAATCATAATATATAGAAATATTAGTAGAAAAAGTATAATACCTTCTAAGTTTTTTAATGGTGTATTCGTGATTTTAGCATGGCCTTTTTTAAAAATGGTAGGTTCAGCATCACGATAAAGTTTACGCCTCATTGTACCGGGTTTAAAACACGACCGCTTAAAGTGTAGCGAACATATCTTGTGGTGTGGTAAAATTTGTTCATCCGTTAATCTACACCGGTTTAGCCAGATTTGCCGTTTGTTTGGACATACTGGAAATCTGTTACAAAATAATACACAACAAATTACAGTTTAGACTAACATATTTTTTCCTCGCAATTATTAACAATACTTACTTGTGTAAAGACACCCTAGATTTGGTATATTTGAGCGCTGGTTTCACACACAAAATACAAACAGACATTTTCGATGATTTTCCAGTAACAACTATCGTAAAAAATGGTTCGTTGATCTGCTGCAATGACGCGATAGCCACGGTGAAGTCTGACTTGGAAGGATAGATCGGTTTAGTTCAATCTTCAAAAGTTCTGACTCACACTATACAAGTAAAATAATCGCGTTTCACAATACTGCATAGAAAACAGTTATTTACCAGTCAAGACTGAAGACTGAAGAATAGGTGTCGTTGAAAACATATAAGACATTGAGCACGCGTACAACATACGTGTTATTCGAAATAAGCCAGGCAAGAAAATGACGTCGTTACTGTCGTTACTCGCCAGTCGCCTTCGAGAACAAAATCCGCTGGGAGCGCGGTGCTCGTGCGGTATAGGTGCGTGCGCGTTGGCGACTCGGCAATTTGACCATTTGTAACCAATATAGTATACACCGAATACCGAATACCCCCGCCTACCGTCAATCGTTAGTACATCCATTATAATCGTCTTTATTGCAAACTCGAATCATTGTACTAAAATGTATACTGTTTACGAGGTAATCCATTATACATTTTATCAAACCGAAAACATGTTGTCGTGCGTGTTAACCTCTATATTAATATGTACGGAATATCGGTATGATAATAACAATAATAATAATAGCAATAACAATTATTTGGTATCAGGAACACCAACTGCAACATGCCTTCCCACAAGTGAATAAGAACTTTAACCACAGACTGTACGACTGGCCCTTATACTTATTTCTTATGACATTTTAATAAATATAATTAGCAGGCTCCAATCAATAGAACATAGTAGAAGCGACAGGCACACGGCTGATCAATTTGTTAACATTTTGCCGGAGGCTCGGCATGGCCTTGGAACGTGTTTTAACACGGATTTTATGACGATACGGTTGCAACATCATGCCGTGCTGATCACTGGCACTGCTCCAAGGCCAACATTACTTCAACGCCATTATAAATATTTTTCGCTGAACATTGGGATTTCGTTAGCTGTCGCTTCTATCATGTTCCATGTCAATGTTGTTGGATAAACCGCAGTCGTATACTAGTAAATGTGTGTGACTGGAGGTGAAAAAAGTTATATATAAACGTTAATAATACTGCCTTTTCATAACCGAACTCCGGGAATCCAATATTTATGTTTGCTGATGCACCACATTCAGTGGCATATTTTCAACTTTTTTCTGGGGGGGGGGAGATGTAAAATTTTTTTTCTCTAACATTTCATGGGTATTAATATTGGAAAATTATTTATTTATGCTTCTACGTCTTATCTTATCTTGTCTTTGTATAAACATTGTACAAGCGGACGAACAATAATAGCTAGGGTATATCGGTAAACGTCAGCGTATCACCCCGCCATGCCACCACCGACTGGCACACGCACTCACACACGCACAACATATCTTTAAATCGATTGTATTATTTTATTTTTGTATAATATTTGTTGATTGTGGCTTACACAATATGTAGATTGCGTAATTAAGCGCAATCGGCCGCCTCCTTCGCCGGTCCTCGATGATTAACACGGCCGTCCAAGCAATGACCTGACCAATCCGTTCCGTATTTTTAACGTGGATCCATTAAAATTATTGTTTTACGTGCGCAAATCGCCGTTGTTATAATATATTGGTCTTGCAGGTGCGAATCGCCTTTAAAATATAAACTTATACCGTGGGCGCGAATTGCCATTTATTTTATTAGTGTCGTGGGCGCGAATCGCCACTCTTTTTGTATAAAATATTATTGGTGCACCGACAAATCATGTGATTTTTATTATTGTCTTATTTATGTATTATTTCATATTATACACCTTTAATTTGTTGGGTCAAAAGGGCCGCCGTCAATATATAATTATAGTTATTATATTTTTGTCGAGCCACAAGGGCGACATTATATTTCATTATTATTTCGTAGATATTGTCAGCCTCCCACCCCCTGAAATTTGTTTTTAAAATAAGATTTAATTAATTTTTAAATAAAGATTAATTTAATTTAAATTATATTTTTATATTTTCATATTTTATTATATAATATAACATATTTATACTCTACCCCCCCC